CTCTGCCGCTGCCAGTGAACCACAAAGGAGCAGGTTTCCACATGAATGAATGAGGCTGATGCAACTCAACACACTGTTGACAAATGCCAAGCTGACAATGGCATTAAACCAGAAGTCCTTTTCCTCATACAGTGTCTCTCTTTACGAAAATGAAAGGAAAGTTAGGCCATCGCGTCCGCGACCCGCCTGCGGTTAAACAAATTATAAAGTGGCAATTTGCTTTAATGCAGTTTGCAATTAGCTCGCTTTTTTTTCTGCGTTTCTGCACATTATTAACGTTACACAAGCAAGAGAGGGATAGCAACTTACAGAGGGGGGAAGTTTTGCAGGTCCGGCTCCAAAGTTGATGGTTTGTTTGTGCTCCATGATGTAAAGCGAGCTCGAAACTCCGGCTGGTGGATGCTGTCCCTGCCTGCTGTCTCTACCAGATTCAGCGCTGTGTGAAAGCCTCAGCTTCGGCCGTGTCCCTGCTCTCCTCCTCCAGCACTGGTTGGCTTGGATGCCAGTTATGTATATAGCATGTTGCGTTTGGGAACGCCTCGTAAATTTGTAGCCTCAAATGACAAAATAGGGTCAATCTAGGTTACAATGCATAGTTGACCATGTAAGGGAGTATTAATGCATGATGCATCCTCAAATCCTCAAAAAGTTGATTCTGTTCATATGGACGCAGCGTTTTCGGAAAACGTTAACGTTAACTCCAGTAATTACTGATTATAATTATTTTTAGCAGTTATTGTCACACGTTCAAACAGGTGGATTAACCTTTTAGGATGTCTGAGTGGATAAGCTCTGATTCAAATATTAAACAATTATTTTATTAAAAAAAACTCTGTGGCTCCTGTTTTAAATTGAAAGCATAATTAAACATTGTTCTCAAAGCCCCTTGTACTCAAATGTTCCCTTAAGTCAATATTAGAGTAAGAGTACTCTGGGTTAGTGTTATTATATTTAAACTATTGTGAAATAACTACTGTGAAATTTTCCCAGACTGTTTTCCCTTTTATCTTAAGTACCGTAACAACTTGATTTTAAAAGATTTACAACATTGTAAAATATTCAATTTAAATTATTTATTAAATTAGACCATGCAGAAACTTCTTAACTGAGATCAAATTATTTTTTTCCTCATTTCAATTATTTCACATATATAATACACTATACATAAATCTTAAACTTGCCTTTTTTTCTCTTTTTTTTTCTTTTTTGACCAGTTCACGCGAACGAAGTTACTTACTTACTTGGCAGCACTTGAAGGCACCACCAGGACCCAAACTAGGACCTGTTGTCACGTGACTGGCTGAGTGCCCCGTCACGCCACCGAAAATGTGAGCGAGCAAAACTTTAAGTATCAAGTAATTTGAAAGCATTTTAGACGTATAGCAGGAAGAGCACTGGTTACTCTTTCACAGTATCCTGTTTATTCAATGATCAATTAATCAAAGCTGCAGGAATTTGGACTTTCTGGAAATGACACATTCATATTGCTTGCCAGCATGAATTGATTCTGCAAAGTTATGGCATTGAGAAGAGGAGGAATAACAACATCCCATAGAGCTTATATGGAACCTCTCATATTGAGTCTGTGCCTGGATAAGAAAGAAAGAGTTTCAACATTTAGACACATTTTGATCAAATGTTTCCTTATTATCCTGATAGCTTCTGATTACTTTTCATAGAACTATGTTTCAGCGTTCTATTTTTTTTTTTCCTATTTTGATGTATTGGGTCTAACTGCACACTATAGAAGGAGAAAAACACACTTTCCACTTCTAAATACCACTGAACAGATTATTTCCCCCCACAACAGCAAAACATCTGAAGAGCAGAACATTAACGGGGTTTAATGGAGACAAGTCGCATGCGCTCACAGCTGCTTCCTCGAAAAGTCAACATCAAAAGAGAGTACATAGGGTAGCATCGTGAAAAAACAACAAAATATAATATATCCGAGCAAACAAACGCAACATATTGTGTTTTCCTTCAGATTTGATTCTGTCTAATATCTGCAACGATAAGGAAAATGAACATCCCACAGTGTCTTTTACACATCTGCTCTCTGTAAGGATGGATGTAAAGACGTAAATGCCCTCCATTTGAAGTCACTCTCACCAGTAGCTGCACACTGTACCACCTTGTCACACACAATTCTTTCATTTCAGACAGACTCTGTAAGACACAGTTTTCACTATTTGAATCTAAACTTGGATCTCTTCTTAATCCTAACCGAACTCAAACGCAGACTGATATATATTTGTTATATATTTGTCCTCAAAATAACAACATTTCCCATAAAATGAACTAAAATTGGTCCACATTCCCAACCAACAACAGCAGAGAGAAAATCATTAGCATGCTACAGTTTAAAAAGATATTTAAAAAGTAAACTCTCACAGTACTTATAATGCAAATATAACACAAGTACAGATTGCTTACATAAGAGCACTGAGGGACACAGAAGCTTTGTTTCATTTCTGTTTTCGTAACTTGTAAAATATGACACATCAGCACAGCAGAGGGACAAGAAGCAGAATTTGGAACAAAAACTGCAAGATACAGTCAAAGGTGGAAGTGTGAACGTGGGCATTTTTAAAAAAAAGATGAGATGAAAGTAAACAAATGTTTGAAAATGTAAGCAGAACAGACTAAATTGAGTCAGTTTGAGTGTTTACTGCACAGTATTGCACAGAGTGTTGTGATACCAAAGATTCAGCAAGACAATTTTCTATCAAATGGAAATAGTCCATTGCAGTTGCTGTTGGCACAGTTTGGGTTTTTTTTCTACGAAGTTGCAACAAAGGTAAAACCAGAAGCTCTAGCAGTCAGGCTGACAGCATTAATTTAACCGTAACTTAGAAAAGCGTGACAGAGATAATTGTATTTCAGCAGCTCGTGAAACACACGAGACTCGCTTGACCGGTTTGTCCCTTTTTAGAGATCACATGGAATTATACAATGTTTCAGTGTGTGTGTGTGTGGGTGTGTGCATGTCCAAGCAAACATACACTACAGTGATCAGACTGCTCTCATCTCAGGAGAAAGTATAAATAAACAATGAGTGCACCGTGTCCAAATGCTCAGCATGGCCTTTAGGGGCCAGATGAAAGAAAGTGCATCTCTGCTTCTCCTTTGGGTGCCCGATGATCCGTCTCTACTTCTTCCTCTGCGTCTGTGTTTCCCACTCTGACTCTCCCTCTTGAGCGCCACAGCAAAATGGCAGGAAAGGCATGCTTGAAAGCCTTTCTAAAGTTGTTGCCCGTGAAAGCATACATAAACTGGTTTACAGAGGAGTTGGAGTAAGACATGCAGTGACCCCAAATCTTCAGCTGTGAATGCAAAATTAAGGCGCACTCGATTTTCAAGTTTTTCAATTCAAATCACAACACCAGTCAGCTCAAGGTGCTTAATATTGTAAAGAACCTACAATAATGTTGGACTATTGGAAGGAAAAACTCCGTCTTAACAGGAAGAAACCTGTGGCAGATGAAAATAATTGAACGTTGTCGCTGTTTTTAAAGCGACAGCATCAGTTTCTGTCATCACAGTACTTTTGTTCACTGTCACACCTTTAAGAGCTACACTAAGACTGTATACTCACCTAATGACACCCTGAAAATGACACTCCCCACCCCTGGCATTTGATAGACATAGATCCTGAGGGGAAAAAAAGTAAATTCTGGGTGTATTTGACTTTGTTCTGAGGTTCTAGCGAGGAGCCAAGGGTTAGCTGCACCAGCGATGACACCTGTTGGGGGTTTTGCAAACTTCCCTACATCTGGATCTTCTTGTCATTTCCCGCTAGATATTTCCACAACAACAAACTTCAATGGGATAACCAAACATCTGAGTAGTAGTTTTGTAGTTGTAGTTTTCCCAAAACCTTGACAACAATAAAAAAAATTGCAGTCTTCCTGTTAAAAGGGAGCTCTTCCTCCCCATCACCCTGCTTGACAGCTGGTTGTTTGGGTTTTCTTTTTAATACTGTAGGATACTGATTTTGCATTTATTGTATTGAGCTGGTGTTACATATAAAACAAAAATGAAACCATGACCATCTAATCAGTAATAAAAGAGATCACCTTATATAGGATGTAACTCTGGAGGCCAAAAGCTTGCAGGAGGATGCAAACCTCCTTCCAGTACCAACAGATGAGGAATAGAGACACCATCACCACCACCATACGAGAGACTCGTGCCCACTGCACGATTTAACTGGAATAAAGGAGGCATTGCCAGGTCTTTGTAATTAAAAGGAATATTTGGAATTCTCTGTGGATTTAATATGTGAAAAATAAATAATTTCCTACTTGGTAGCCACTGCCAATGGGATTCATGCTGGGCTGGCCCATCCGCTTGAGCATGATGGCATAACACGCAGTGATGGTAAGCAGGGGTAAGAGGTAGACAGCTAGAAAGCTGTAGATGGTGAAAGCTCTCTGGAGGTGGGCAGAGGGAAAAACATCACTGTAGTATGTCTGAGGACCGAACCAGCAGTATCCCACCTCCAGCGACAGGGATGGACAGAATCAAGGAGCCTGGAGGACAGGGGACATGGCATGTAGTTTCCCTTCTTATACTGTGGCAAATAAAAAATAAGAAGCACTCAGAGAAGTGCAAACCTTCGCGAAGGCAGCTCACTCTCTGGACAGGATTTACCTTTGAGGGAACAGTACTGCATTTTGTGTATATTAATTTTGTTGTATTTGTTCTTTTAAATGTACTTTAAGATGTTTGTAATCCAAGTAAAATCATATAAGTGTAGCAGATGTTTGTTTTGATTACACAAACCTTATATAGGAGAAGATAATGGATAATAGGTCATCTTGTTACCGTAGTATATTTTCATTCTTTTCTATCCTATAAGATGTTTTGGGGTCCTAAATTATAAAACTTTTTGAGACTTTTGGCAAATAAATTAATCAGCCAACCTTGATGACCTTGGTGGATGTAAGCCAAATCATAATGGACTGTTAACATGACCCCACTCTACACTGCTACAAAGTTTTATCAGAATTAATTAAAAACTTTTTGAGGATGGTGTTTATAGACAGAAACACAAGCACACATGCATCAGTGGATAATAGATCAATTATTGGATGATTAATTGTCCATTAAATTCATGGATTAAATAACTAGAGTCCTATTTGTGATGTGGGTGCACATGTGTGCATGGTGTGTTTGTATGATACCTATTCAGATAGACAGGGAGATGGCCTGAGCCCTCCGAGGCGTCCGATGTCTCAGAGATTGCAGAGGGTACAAAGTCATGTAGCAGCAGTCGACACTCATTGCTGACAGGGTGATACATGGCGCCTGTGCAGTCACCTGAAAACCAGGAACACAAGGTATGTTTGTTACTATCACTGTGCAACAAAACCTTTTTAAACCTGTGGTGTCTGGTGTATTTTATTGTGTTATATCTTGTAGAAAGTGAAAACACGAGAAATATATGCAATTAATGTGTTGGGAATTTTGAGTATTTGCGTTCATAATATCGAGGAGCTTATCTGGGCACTAAATAGACCTTTGCTCAATGTTACAGTCTTCTTTTCAGATGAAGGTAAATTTGGCATTTTATTTGGAAATCAAGGTCCTAGAGTCTGGAGGAAGAGTAGAGAGGCCCAGAAACCAAGGTGTTCAGCATGCTATGTCGTCTTCTGATGTTGGAGCTGGTCTCAGCCAGGAGAACATTTCATTCTTTGATCTGCTAACAAGCATTATGGAGATCCAGTTTTCCTTTTCGAGCAGCACCTGCCAACAGTACTAAACATCTAATAACATAACATGCTGACCATGTTATTACTGCTTGATTTGATAGATAACTGGCCTGACCTGGCCTAACTGGCCTCACAGGATCTATGGGGTATTGTCAGGAAGAACGTGAAAAATATACACCCCAAAAAAGGAGCTGAATGCTGCCATCAAAGCAACACAGGCTTAAAAAACCACCTCAGTAGTGCCACAAGCTGATTGAGCCGTGCTATGCTGCACAAACGGGGGTTATATGGTAGGATGTTTCTTAACAAGTGGTTCAAGTGGTATAACCTTATTTACAGCTATCATTTACTTATGTAGTTTAATCAGATGCCTCATGTGTAATCATCTGATGTGTTTTAGAAAGTTGGGGATGTCTACAGATAGTAATGCCATTGCCAAAGAGACTGGATGGCTACGCTACATAACTGATAGTTATGGGTATTCATTCAGTGGTGATTCTGGGCATTTTTCAAAGACAGAAGGAAGTTGAACTAACAGGCATGAAGCTGTGTTCCTCATCAGCTTGTGTAAGTAAAGAACTTTTAAACTTGAAAAATCTGTCAAGGAAGATTTATCTTTCACAGAAATTTCAACTGCATGAGCAACACAAAGGACATAAACCAGGAATTTTTAAT